CACTTCTTTATTTTACTACAGAAATTATTTTAGAGGTTTTTTGTATAGATCCTATTTAGTAGAGTCTGTTTCTAAAACAAAAAAAAGCCAAAAAAAAAATTGATGATGATGATGATAATAATAATAATAATTGTATTTCCATAAACGGTGTAATTTTTTCAGTGTAGCTGCACCTCTGTTGTACAATAGAGAAATTTTTATAATCAGCCCCAATGTGATTCCTCAAGGATGCTTTTCCCAAATTCCCCAACCCCACAACTCCAAGGTGCTTCAGAGAAGAGAGGAAAAAAAAAAACCCCAGAGAGGTCTCTGGAGAAGTCACCCAAACCGTGGCGATTTCTGGATTTAATTTATTTTTTAGGGCTTTTTTGGGTTGTTTTTGTTCTTTTTTTTAAATTTTATTTCCCTTTTCCCGGTTTCTCTTCAGCTGTCGGGGTCAGATATTCCTGCTGGATGTGGATCCAGGAAGGAATGGAATTTTATTGGGAGGGAGATTCTGCCCTGCAAATTCGGGAATTTGGGATGGGAAGTCCGGGAAAAAGCGGGATCTGCCAGCAGGGGGAGGCTCCCGAGGCAGGCGGGATTTCCGTGGGATTGGTGAATTTGGGGATGGATCCAGGGCTGCTTGGAATTCCTGGAATTCCTGGGGGGGGAGTGCAGTGGGATCAGGGAATTCCTGGGAGGGGAGTGCAGTGGGATCAGGGAATTCAGGAATTCCTGGGAGGGGAGTGCAGTGGGATCAGGGAAATTCCTGGGGGGGAGTGCAGTGGGATCAGGGAATTCAGGAATTCCTGAGAGGGGAGTGCAGTGGGATCAGGGTGTTCAGGATTTCTTGGGGGGGGGGTGCAGGGGGATCAGGGAATTCAGGAATTCCTGGGAGGGGAGTGCAGTGGGATCAGGGAATTCCTGGGAGGGGAGTGCAGTGGGATCAGGGAATTCAGGAATTCCTGAGAGGGGAATGCAGTGGGATCAGGGAATTCCTGGGGGGGAGTGCAGTGGGATCAGGGAATTCAGGAATTCCTGAGAGGGGAGTGCAGTGGGATCAGGGAATTCAGGAATTCCTGGGAGCAGGGAATGCAGTGGGATCAGGGAATTCCAGGGAGGGGAGTGCAGTGGGATCAGGGACTGGGAATTCCCGGAATTCCCAGGAGCTGCTGCCTGTTTTTTGGGAGATTTTGGGATGCAGCTGTCCCACAGCCCTGGAGTTCCCGGGCAGCTCCGTCCCAGGAATCCAGGATGGTTTTTAGGGCCAGAGTTGGGGATTTTGGGCAGGTCCAGCTCCAGGATGGGGAGCGGGAGTCCTTCCCCTGGGAATTGCCCCATTCCAGGGCTGGGATCCCTTGGGACCCCTCAGGTTGGATTTTCTCCCCCTGGATCCCGGAATTCGCTCCCCCTGCCAGAGCAGCGCCCAGAAAATCCCGAATTCCTGGGAATTCCTGGGAATTCCTGGGAATTCCTCCTCTCTGTGCTGCTTTTCCCACCCCAATCCCACCACACTCCGCTCCTGGGGGTCCCCACGGGGGGCTCTGCCCTGCTCGAGGTTTTTGGGATTCATTTTCGGCCAGAAAAGGCAGAATTCTCCCCCAGGACAGAGCTGGGTTGGGAAAACCTCTGGAATTTGCTCCTCCCTGGATGTTTTCCCAGCCTTTTCCTAATCCCAGAGTTGGGTTTTCCATAACATTGGAAATTTCCGGGTTGTTTTGGGCCCAAACCTCTCATTTTTGGCTGAGCTGAAAGCCCCTCCTGATGAAAAATGGCATTTTTAACCCTTTCCTCCAGAATGTTTAGATCCCTCTCTTCCCCTCTGGCAGGAAAAAATTCCAATCCTGAATTCCCAGCTGTTGCAATTCCCTGGAATTCTCTGCATTCCCCCTGCAGCCTCCAGTGGTGCCACAATTTCCTGCTCAGGATAATCCGGGATAATCCGATTTTTAAATGCTGAAAAACCCCAGAGTGAGCCATCAATAATTTGTGTTCCAGGTTTTCCAAAGCCGTTTTTCCTCCTCAATAAACTCTCCAGCATTCCAGGCTGCTCTTCCAAGAATTCCAGAATCTGGGATGGTTTTTTTTTTCCTGCTCTTCAGCTCCGCTCTGTATCGGATCATTCTGAGAATTTATGAACTTCCTTTCTGTGGAAGAAGATTAAAAATTCCAACCCCTCTTCCCGGTCTGGCCATGATTTTCCAAAGAAAAAAAAAAAAACAACAAAAAAAACCCCCAGGAAAATGGGGAAATTTGGTTTAAAAGCAGGAAATTCAAGGCTGGGATTTGTTGTGGTTTCTTAAACCTTGGATTTCCATTTTTGCTGCAGCCACAGAATTCCACAGGGATGGGAAAGTCCAAGGGGTTTGTCCGGGTGTTCCCTCCTTTCTGCACCTCCCACTTCTGCTTTATTTCCCCATTTCATTTTGCTTTCTTTTCCTATTTTATTTTGCTGCTTTCCCCCCTTTATTTTGCCTTTTCCCTCTTTTCTTTTGCTTCATTTTCCCACTTTACTTCCCCTTATTTGTCCCCATGTATTTTGCTTTTTTCCCCCCATTTATTTTGCCTTTTTTCCCATTTTACTTCGCTGCTTTTTCCCATTTTATTCCTGGGTGGGACCCGGGCTCGGCACCCCCAGAGCTGCACGCTTTTCTTGGGAATTCCTTCCCGAGGCTTTGGGATTTACCCTGAGAGTTTGGATTTACCCTGAGAGTTTGGGATTTACCCCGAGGGTTTGGGATTTACCCCGAGTTTGGGATTTACCCCGAGGGTTTGGGATTTACCCCGAGGGTTTGGGATTTACCCTGAGAGTTTGGATTTACCCCGAGGGTTTGGGATTTACCCCGAGTTTGGGATTTACCCCGAGGGTTTGGGATTTACCCCGAGTTTGGGATTTACCCCGAGGGTTTGGGATTTACCCCGAATTTGGGATTTACCCCGAGTTTGGGATTTACCCCGAGGGTTTGGGATTTACCCCGAGCCGCATTTTGGGGAGGCGGAGCCGGGAGGGGGCGGCGGAGCTGCCGCGATCCCAAAATGCGGGACAAACCGGGAGCCAGCGGGGCTGGCCCGGCTCCTGCGGGATCCCGGGGGCTGGGAAAGGCTCCGGGGCCGGCCCGGGGCTGGCCCGGCTCCTGCGGGATCCCGGGGGCTGGGAAAGGCTCCCGGCCCGCCCGGGCCCCCCCGGGCTCTGTCCCCGGCTGCTCCCGGGGCTCCGCAGTGGAAAATCACCGGGAGCGTCCGTGCCAAACCCGGGGCTGCGACGGTCCGGGATGAACCCGGGATGGTCCGGGATGAACCCGGGATGGTCCGGGATGAACCCGGGATGGTCCGGGATGAACCCGGGATGGTCCGGGATGAACCCGGGATGGTCCGGGATGAACCCGGGATGGTCCGGGATGAACCCGGGATGGTCCGGGATGAACCCGGGATGGTCCGGGATGAACCCGGGATGGTCCGGGATGAACCCGGGATGGTCCGGGATGAACCCGGGATGGTCCGGGGTGGTCCGGGATGGTCCCGGGATGGTCCCGGGATGGTCTTTGCCCCGCTGGCTCCCGGTGGGAAGGGGCAGGAGCCCCTGGGGAATTCCCCCTTTGGATTCTCCCGCTCGGAGCGGCTCCAGGGCGGGGAAATGTCCCGGGAGAGGCGGAGAGTGCCAGGCTGAGGAGGGGATAAAAGAATTCCTGACAGGATTTCCTCACATGATTCCCTGCAGGATTCCCGGACAGGATTCCCAGCAGGATTCCCTCACACGATTCCCGGACAGAATTCCCTGCAGGATTCCCGGACAGAATTCCCAGCAGGATTCCCTCACACGATTCCCTGACAGAATTCCCAGCAGGATTCCCTGCAGGATTCCCTGACACGATTCCCGGACAGAATTCCCAGCAGGATCCGAGGGTTTGGGATTTACCCCGAGCCGCATTTTGGGGAGGCGGAGCCGGGAGGGGGCGGCGGAGCTGCCGCGATCCCAAAATGCGGGACAAACCGGGAGCCAGCGGGGCTGGCCCGGCTCCTGCGGGATCCCGGGGGCTGGGAAAGGCTCCGGGGCCGGCCCGGGGCTGGCCCGGCTCCTGCGGGATCCCGGGGGCTGGGAAAGGCTCCCGGGCCCCCCCGGGCTCTGTCCCCGGCTGCTCCCGGGGCTCCGCAGTGGAAAATCACCGGGAGCGTCCGTGCCAAACCCGGGGCTGCGACGGTCCGGGATGAACCCGGGATGGTCCGGGATGAACCCGGGATGGTCCGGGGTGGTCCGGGATGGTCCCGGGATGGTCTTTGCCCCGCTGGCTCCCGGTGGGAAGGGGCAGGAGCCCCTGGGGAATTCCCCCTTTGGATTCTCCCGCTCGGAGCGGCTCCAGGGCGGGGAAATGTCCCGGGAGAGGCGGAGAGTGCCAGGCTGAGGAGGGGATAAAAGAATTCCTGACAGGATTTCCTCACATGATTCCCTGCAGGATTCCCGGACAGGATTCCCAGCAGGATTCCCTCACACGATTCCCGGACAGAATTCCCTGCAGGATTCCCGGACAGAATTCCCAGCAGGATTCCCTCACACGATTCCCTGACAGAATTCCCAGCAGGATTCCCTGCAGGATTCCCTGACACGATTCCCGGACAGAATTCCCAGCAGGATTCCCTCACACGATTCCCTGACAGAATTCCCAGCAGGATTCCCTCACACGATTCCCTGACAGAATTCCCAGCAGGATCACCCTGCAATCGCCGCTCCCGCTGCCAGAATTAGCGCGGGGACCGCGCCCGCCCCGCGGGTATTTTGGGGACAATTGGGGCGTTTTTCTCGCCCGGCTCCGCGGGCACAGCCCCCCCCAGGCGGTTTGGGTTACACAAGCCCGGGGCGGCGCGGGGGGGGCGCCCGGCTTTGGGTCGGTTTCTCGCGATTTGGGAACTTTGGGCAGCGGGGCGGGGGCGGCGCGACCCGCGCGGCGCTCCCCCCGCCCCTCGGAAAAGGGGCGTGGTCTGCTCTGCCCCCGCCCCTCCGCGGCGGGGAAGCTGCGCCGCCATTGGCTGTGCGGGCGATGACGTCGGCGCACTGCGGCGGCTCCGCGCGGCCCCGGTGGCGTCGCTTTAAAGGGGCCGCGCTCGCGGCAGCGCCGGCGGCGGCACCGGCCCCGGAGCGGCCCCGGACAGAATTCCCAGCAGGATTCCCAGCAGAATTCCCTGCAGGATTGCCCGTCGCTCCCCGGAGCGCCCCGAGCTCCTCTCAGGACGGAATTTTCCCCGAACGAGCAGAACCCCGGCGCCCGGGCCAGCGTGGCACCGGCGGCTCCTCCCGACCTGCGGAATCCCGGCCGCGCCTCCCCATTCCTGCTCGCTTTTAATTACAATTTAATTAGAAGCCAGAGCGCGCCGCGGGTTTGGCTGTCCCGCCGCGGCCCCGGTGGCCCCGGGCGCTGCCGCTGTTTGTGTCGCGGCTGCGGACAGCGATAGCGGCGGGGCGCGGGCGGGGCGCGGGCGGGGCGCGGCCCTGGCACGGCCCTGGCACGGCCCTGGCACGGCCCTGGCACGGCCACCCTGCAATCGCCGCTCCCGCTGCCAGAATTAGCGCGGGGCACCGGCCCCGGAGCGGCCCCGGAGCGGCCCCGGAGCGGCCCCGAGCCCCGGCTGCCCCCGCGCGCTCCGGCACCGGGGCGGACCGGGCGCTCCCGGCAGGTTCCGACCCGGTAAGGAGGCGAGAGCGGCACCGCGGCGGTACCGGGAGATGCCGGATCCGCAACGGCTGCTGCCGGTGCCGGCGGGTTTCCCCCCGGCTGGACCCTGCCGGGATCGGATGGCGCCGGTACCGGGGGTCTGCACCCGGCGGGGTCCTGCCGGGAGCCGAGCGGGTGGTGCCGGTACCGGGGTACCGATACTGCCGGACCCTGCCGGTACCGGGGCGGCTCCTGCCGGTGCAGGGGGGTCCTGATTCGGTTGGACCCTGCCGGTACCGGGGCGGTCCCCACCCGGCTGGACCCTGCCGGTACCGGGAGGTGCCACCCGGGCACGGAGCGGCCGCGCCGGTACCGGGAGGAACCGCGGAGCTCGGGGAGGGCTGCGCCGGTACCGGAGCCGCTGCCGGCCCGGTGGCACCGGGCGAGAGGCCACGGCCACGGCGGGATGCGGGATCCGGGGCTGGATCCCCCGAAACCGCCGCGTCCCGGGGCTGCGGTGACTCCGCGGATTCCCGGCAGGAAAAACAACCACCGGGAAAAGCCGGGGCAGCGCCGTGACCCGCGGTGACCGGGGCGCTCTGCCCGTGCCGTGCCCGGGAGGGGACGGGGCGAGCCGGGGCTCCGGGACCCGCTCCGGGCGCTCCTTCCCGGCCGTTCCCGTGAATTCCCAAATTTTCTCCTCTTTCGGGAGCTCGCAGCGGGTCGGTTCAACTCCAGCGGCGGCGGGATCGCGTCCCGGCTCTCCCCTGGCGGATTTTGCGGCAGCGGGGCTCCCCCCGCTCGGTTTCCCGGGAATTCGCTCGGGGGCAGAAGCTGCGTTCGAGTTCGTTAAAAACCCGAATGTTCCAGGCACCAAAATCAGCTTTGGGGTTAAAAACCTCCAGGCCGGGCACGGTCAGAGAGCGCCGCTGTCCCGGAGCGCTCCCGGTGCCGGTGCCGGTGCCGGTCCCGGTGCCGGCTCCCCGCGCTCCTCCCGGTGCCGGTCCCGGCTCCCCGCGCTCCTCCCGGTGCCGGGGCGGCACCGAGCGCGGCGGGGCCGATTTCGGGGACCCCGCGGGCGGCTCCGGCCGCTCCTCCCTCGGCTCTGGGGCCAGAGATCCCCGAACCCCCGGACGCCGGGGCACAAACGGCGCCGGGGAGCCACTCCCGGCATTTCCCGGGCGTTTTCCCACCCTCAGCCCAAACTCGGGGAGTTGAAACTTTTATTCCCGAGCGATTTTCCCGTTTATTTCCCGTCCCCCCCGGCTGCGGTTTTTTTTTGTTTGTTTGTTTTTTTGGGTTTTTTTTTTGCGGGGGGGAAACGCGGCTACTTCGCTTCCCAAGGGAGCCCCTTTTATTTGAGGGAAGGCGCTCTCGGCCGCACCAAAATTCGGGATTTCTCCGGCCGGGATTTCCCTTCCCTCTTCCCTATCCCGTACAAAATTCGGGATTTTTTCCAGCCGGGATTTCCCTTCCTTCTTTCCTATTCCGTACCAAAATTCGGGATTTCTCCGGCCGGGATTTCCCTTCTCTCTTCCCTATCCCGCACCAAAATTCGGGATTTTTTCCAGCCGGGATTTCCCTTCCCTCTTCCCTATCCTGCACCAAAATTCGGGATTTTTTCCAGCCGGGATTTCCCTTCCCTCTTCCCTATCCTGCACCAAAATTCGGGATTTCTCCTGCCGGGATTTCCCTTCGCTCTTCCCTATCCCGTACAAAATTCGGGATTTCTCCGGCCGGGATTTCCCTTCCCGCTGCCCCCGGGGGCTGTGGCCGTGCGTTAATTCAGCTCCCGCAGATTCCCGAAATGATTTTTCCCCCCGTGCCTCGGGATCGGGCGGAGCTGGGAATTGCAGCCCCGCGCTGGCGGAGCGCGGCTCTCGGGGTGGGATTTCCCTTCCCGTGTCCCGAGGATTTGGGGTTTGGGGGTGCCGGGAGCCCCCCCAGCCCTCAGAGGATTCCAGTCCCGAAATAACGGCCCGGACTCGATCCCCAAAAACGCTGCCTCCGCTGCTGGGGCCTGCTCTGGTCCCATTCGGGTTTGGGGCGGTTTTGGGGGCTGTTTTGGGGTTTTGAGGCCGTTTTTGGGGCGGATTTGGGGCTGCTTTGGGGCCGTTTTTGGGGTGCCTTTGGGGCCGTTTTTGGGGTGCCTTTGGGGCCGTTTTTGGGGCGGCTTTGGGGCCGTTTTTGGGGCGGCTTTGGGGCCGTTTTTGGGCGGGTTTGGGGCCGGTTTTGGGACAGGTTTGGGGCCGTTTTTGGGGGAGCAGCTCCTGCAGCCGCACCTCGGGATGCTCCGAGCTCCCGCCGGGAGATGGGGCCGGGACGGCCCCGCTGGTGCCCGGCTCAGCCTCGTCCCCCGAAATCCCCCGAAATCCCCCGAAATCCGGTGCCGGGGGCTCTGCCCTGCCCCGGGAGGGGCACACCGGGACAGGGGGGCTCGCGTTGCCTTTTCCCGGGATTTGGAGCCGCGGGGAGAGCCGGGAGGGGGGAATTGCTGCGGGACGGGGCTGAAACCGGGGCCGGTGCTCCCCGGGATGAGCCCCAAGGGGCCCGGGGGGCTCTGGCCCAGCCCGGGCCGGGTTTTGCTGTCCAGGACGAATCTCCGGGAGGGTCCGGGGAGCCCCAGGGGCTCTGCCTGGCCTCGCCCGCCCCAAAACCCCAAACCCTGCCCCTGGAACTCTTCCCACCCCACAAACCTCGGGCCCAGAGGAGTTTTTGGGGCAGTCCCACTGCCCGTGCCCACGCTGCCCCCACCGCGGTGTCCACAATGTCCCCAATGTCCCCCGACCCCCCCAGGGCTCCTCCCAGCCCCACAGACTCTCCCTGAGGCTTCATCCCAAATTATTTCCTCGCTGCTGGCAGTGACCAAGCAGTGACCAAAATCCCAGTTCCTCTTTTTCCTGTTTAATCCCTTTTTTTTTCCGTCTCTCCCGCTTTGGAAGCCGCTCCCAGCCTGGCTGTGGCGTTGTTTGGCTCCGGATTCGGTCTGTAAATAAACCCTCGAGTCTGGTGGGTGTCTTTTTTTAGCAAAGAAACACCCAGCGCGTGGTTCCAGGCCTCACAAAAAAGGGATTTTTTCCCCAAATTTCCAGCCCAGGTTCCAGCCCGGCTCCGTTTTTATTCCAGCCGAGTCACGGATCGCGTTTGGGCTCGATCCAGCCCGACCCCCACAAATCACCCCCGGTGACACCCCCGGGATCCTCCCGCTGCCATTCCCAGCGGGAATTCCCCGATCTCAGGGATTTCTGCGAGGGTTCCCCCGCCGCGGACCACCAGGGGTCGGCAGAATTCCGCCTGGGAATTCCCGAGAGCTTCTCCATCCAGGGGAGCACCCCAAGGAATCGGGCTGGGGGGGTTGGAGCGGGGCCGCTGCTCCCGGTTTGGTTTTTGGGGTTTTTTTTGCCATTCCCCGGTTTTTGCTGTTCCTTTTTTGTTGTTGTTGTTGTTGTTTTGTTCTTCCCGGGTTTTTTTTCTGTGGTTGTTTTGTTGCTGTTGTTGTTGTTTTTTGGGGTTTTTTGGCTTTTTGTTTGTTTGTTTGTTTTTTGGGGTTTTTTTGTTTTGTTTTTGTTTTTGTTTGGGGTTTTTTTTTTAATTTTTGGGTGTTTTTTTTGTTTGTTTGGGGTTTTTTTGTTTGTTTTTCTTTTTTGTTTTTTTTGGGGGGGGATTTTTTTGGGGGTTTTTTTTTGTTTTTATTTTTGGTTTTGTTTTTTTTTTTTTTTGTTGTTTGGGTTTTTTTTGTTTTTTTTTGTTTGTTTGGTGTTTTTTTGTTTGTTTTTCTTTTTTGTTTTTTTTGGGGGGGGATTTTTTTGGGGGTTTTTTTTTGTTTTTATTTTTGGTTTTGTTTTTTTTTTTTTTTGTTGTTTGGGTTTTTTTTGTTTTTTTTTGTTTGTTTGGTGTTTTTTTGTTTGTTTTTCTTTTTTGTTTTTTTTGGGGGGGGATTTTTTTGGGGGTTTTTTTTTGTTTTTATTTTTGGTTTTGTTTTTTTTTTTTTTTGTTGTTTGGGTTTTTTTTGTTTTTTTTTGTTTGTTTGGTGTTTTTTTGTTTGTTTTTCTTTTTTGTTTTTTTTGGGGGGGGATTTTTTTGGGGGTTTTTTTTTGTTTTTATTTTTGGTTTTGTTTTTTTTTTTATGACCACATGCAAGGGGCAACTCATCCTGCTGCAATGAAAGCAAAGAAGAAAACAAATTAAAGCTAAGTAAGTCATGTTGCCTATGCTGTTGGTGTTCTCTGATTTAAATACTTTGTTAGAAAGAGAATAATAGTGCCTATTTAAAAAACCCCAACTGAACAGGAACTATGATCTGATTTTTCAAGGTCTGGGATTATTTTTATTTGGGCTTTTTTTAAATTCTGCTTTTTTATTATTACTAGGTTGTGGGTTTTTTTTTTTTCTTGCTATTTTCTTTAAGGCAGAAAAATATGAAATTTCCTGATCTTTGCAGCTGTAGAAGATACTGGCACATCTCTTTTATAATATGATTTGTTTCAGCTGTCTGAGACTCAGCTCCTAAATTAAAACCCACCCATTACAGGCTGGATTTTAGAGAGTTGATGAGTTACATGCATCACCTGCTGAAGACACCTCATTCTCCTGACTGCCTGCAGCTGGCTCCTGGATAAAATGTGCACTCTAAACACCTGGGGCGAGTTTCAGTTGCTTAAATATCCAGTCCTCAGTATATTTCAGATTTTTTGTTCCTTGCGAGGGCAGTTTGGAGCTGGCAGATCACGTAGGTGGGTTTTTTTTTTTTGTTTGTTTGTTTTTCTTTTTTTGTTTTTTTTTGGGGGGGGGATTTTTTGGGGTTTTTTGTTTTTATTTTTGGTTTGGGTTTTTTTTTTTTTTTGTTTGTTTGGTTGGTTGTTTTTTTTTGTTTTCTTTTGTTTGTTTGGTTGGTTTTTTTTAAATTTTTTTCTCCTTCCCTCGCTGCCCTCCCGGTGAATCAGGAGGGATCAGCGCCTTTACACGGGCTCTGCTCTCCTGCAGTTCCCCCAGAAGTTCCCAGCCTCGGGAATAGCCCGGGATTCACGGAATTCCCTCTTTTCCGTGCCTCATTCCCTCTTTTCCGTGCCTCATTCCCTGTTTTCTCTGCCTCATTCCCTGTTTTCCGTGCCTCATTCCCTGTTTTCTGTGCCTCATTCCCTGTTTTCCGTGCCTCACTCCCTGTTTTCTGTGCCCGCAGCCCGTGCCCGGGATGGTGCCAGCATGAGGAGGTGCTGCCAGGCCGTGGGGCTGCCCTGCCTGTTCAAGGTCAGTGCCACGGCCCCTCCCCAGGGGGGTCGGGTCCCCAAAGTGCAGAATTCCCCCCAGGACCGTCCAGCCCAGCTCCCGGCCCTGCAGGACACCCCAAAACCGCAGCTGGGCACCCCTGGGGAGCTGTGCCAGGGCTTGTTCCACCCTCTGGGCGAGGAACTCGTCCCTAAAACCCCACCTGACCCCCTGGGCTGTGCCCCTGGCCCCGAGGGGGCACAGGAGGAGCAGGATGGGCTGTCCCCCCCCGTCCCTGCTGTCTCCCCGTCCCTGCTGTCCCCCCGTCCCTGCTGTCCCCCCCAGGCTGGGCTGTCCCCCCCAGGCTGACCCCCTGTCTCGGCTGTCCCCCTCTGTCCCCGAGGGGGCACAGGAGGAGCGGGATGGGCTGTCCCCCTGTCCCCCCAGGCTGGGCTGTCCCCCTGTCCCAGCTGTCCCCCTGTCCCAGCTGTCCCCCTGTCCCTGCTGTCCCCCTGTCCCTGCTGTCCCCCTGTCCCAGCCCCGCTGTCCCGGGTCAAAGGGCGCCTGGCTGATCCCGGAGCTTTCCCAAGGCCGGAAATTCCCCGATCCGGGGCGCTGTCCCCTCTGGGCACCGTGACCTGGCCCGGATTAGCCGGGCAGGGCAGGAGGAGGCTTTGGGGGCAGGGCATTAACCCCTCCCTGCCCGGCCCGGTGGCCTCGTGGTGGCCACGAGGTACCAGAGGGGCTTGTGCCCCTGGAAGGGACGGGGCACGGCCGGTGCCACCACACCCCAGTGACAGCGGGGTCTGTCTGTCCCACACCCCAATAACACCGGGTCTGTCTGTCCCACACCCCAGTGACAGCGGGGTCTGTCTGTCCCACACCCCAGTGACAGCGGGGTCTGTCTGTCCCATACCCCAATAAGAGCAGGTCTGTCTGTCCTACATCTCAATAACAGTGGGGTCTGTCTGTCCCACACCGCAATAATGCCGGGGTCTGTCTGTCCCACATCCTGATGACACCGGGTCTGTCTGTCCCACACCCCAATAATGCCGGGGTCTGTCCCAATAACTCTGGGTCTGTCTATCCCACACTCCAATGACACCCAGGTCTGTCTGTCCCACACCCCAATGACACTGGGGTCTGTCCGTCCCCCACCCCAGTGACACCGCCTCTGTCTGTCCGTCCCGCAGGGCGCGGGCATGGCGGGCGCGCGGCCGCCGCGCTTCCTGCTGGTGTTCGACTTCGACGAGACCATCGTGGACGAGAACAGCGACGACTCGGTGGCGCGGGGCCGCGCGCTGCCGGAGCCGCTGCGGCAGAGCCCGCGCGGCGGCTCCTACAACGAGCACATGCGGCGCGTGCTGGCCTTCCTGGGCGAGCAGGGCGTGCGCCCCGCCGAGCTCCGCGCCGCCTACGAGAACATCCCGCTGTCCCCCGGCATGGCCGAGCTCTTCCAGCTGCTCTCCCGGCACCAGGAGCTCTTCGAGCTGGTGCTCATCTCCGACGCCAACACCTTCGGCGTCGAGGCCAAGCTGCGCGCGGCCGGCGTGCGCGCGCTCTTCCGCAAGGTCTTCAGCAACCCGGCCGGCTTCGACCGGCGCGGCGTGCTCACGCTGGGGCCCTACCACAGCCACAAGTGCCCGCGCTGCCCGCCCAACATGTGCAAGAGGAAGATCCTGGCCGAGTACCTGGCGGAGCGGGCGCGCGACGACGTGGAGTTCCAGCGCGTCTTCTACGTGGGCGACGGCGCCAACGACTTCTGCCCCGCCGGGACCCTGACGGCGGCGGACGTGGCGTTCCCCAGGAAGGGCTACCCCATGCACAGGCTGATCCAGGAGAGCCAGGAGAAGCAGCCCGGGGCCTTCCCGGCCGCCGTGGTGCCCTGGGAGTCGGCGGCGGAGGTGGCGCGGTACCTGCAGGAGCTGCTCCGCAGGAAATGCTGAGGCCGCGGCGGCTCCGGGCTCGGCCGCGCTGCCGGGACCTTCTCCTGCCGTTCCCTGGCCAGGGAAGCACTTTCTGCAGGCCCCGGCCCTGCCTGGCCACGGAGCCACGGCCGGCCCTGCGCCCTTTGGGACCTGACCGGGATTTCTGGTGGAGCTGTCGCTTCCTCTCCCTTTTGGCCTCGAAAGAGAATTCCCGAAAATCCAGCAGCCGGCTCCCGGCGGGCTGGGCACGTCCTCGCTCCTGCCATCCTCCCCCTGGGCTGCCTGGCCCCGGGCTCCTGATCCCGCTGGGAATTCCGGCTGGGACATCCCTGCTCCCCGGGCTCCTGATCCCGCTGGGAATTCCGGCTGGGACATCCCTGCTCCCTCAGCTCCTGATCCCATGGGAATTCCGGCTGGGACATCCCTGCTCCCTGGGCTCCTGAGCCCGCTGGGAATTCCACCTGGGAAATCCCTGCTCCCTCAGCTCCTGATCCCGCTGGGAATTCCGTCTGGGACATCCCTGCTCCCTCAGCTCCTGATCCCGCTGGGAATTCCGTCTGGGACATCCCTGCTCCCTGGGCTCCTGATCCCGCTGGGAATTCCGGCTGGGAAATCCCTGCTCCCTCAGCTCCTGATCCCACTGGGAAATCCCTGCTCCCCGGGCTCCTGATCCCGCTGGGAATTCCACCTGGGACATCCCTGCTCCCCGTGCTCCCTGGGCTCCTGATCCCGCTGGGAATTCCGGCTGGGAAATCCCTGCTCCCTCAGCTCCTGATCCCACTGGGAATTCCACCTGGGAAATCCCTGCTCCCCGGGCTCCTGATCCCACTGGGAATTCCGGCTGGGACATCCCTGCTCCCCGGCCCCCCACACCCACCCCACGCCTTGCTCTGGGGCTCTCTCTCCCTGGGGATTCATTCTCGGGACAAAATCCGTGCCGGGAGCAGCGGGAGAGCCTCGGGGAGGGGCAGAGCCTCCCCAGCCCGGCGCAGGAGCCGCAGCTCCCGCGGGAGCCGGGCCCGGCCCTGCTCCTGTCCCGGGCTGTCCCGGCCTGTCCCGGGCTGTCCCCGGCTGTCCCCTCCCTGCCCCGAGCCCTTCCCGGATCGTGCAGGGTCCCTCCCGCCCCGGGAGGGTCAATTCCCCCTGGCCTGGGCACCTGCGAGGTGCCACAACCCCCCCGGGGCACTGCTGGCACCAGAGGCCAGACCCCCCCACCGTGTCCCCCTCCGCAGCATTAATTAATGAATCACCCCTTCTAATTGCACTCTGCAGGGGCACCTCCAGCGCCCTGCTCGCCGGGGCTGGCTCCTCCCGGATTTATCCCGGGTTTGTCCCGGTTTATCCACAGCCTTCCCGGCCCCGGGGGCGGCGCTGGCCCCCCCACCCCGCAGGACAGAACCAAAGCAGCCCCGAGTTCTTCCTCCCCCGTCCCCCGTCCCTCCTCCTCCTCTTGGACTGCGGGGAACTCAAAGCCATGGAATTAAAGCTGCAAATCCGCGTGACAAAGGCAGGGCTGTGTATGGCCAAAAACACGGGTGGGGCACGGGCCTGGCGGGGAGGGGCTCCGAGCTGCAGCCCGGGGCGGCTCCGGCTCCTCCGGGGCGGCTCTGGCTCCTCAGGGGTGGCTTTGGCTCCTTTGGGTGGCTCCTGCTCCTCCAGGGTGGCTCTGGCTCCTCGGGGTGGCTTTGACTCCTCAGGGGTGGCTTTGGCTCCTCCAGGGTGGCTCTGGCTCCTTGGGGTGGCTTTGGCTCCTCCAGGGTGGCTCCTGTTCCTCGAGGTGGCTCTGGCTCCTCAGGGGTGGCTGGGCAGGGGCTGGGCCAGGGGATCCAGGGGGTTTGGGACCCTCTGTGCCCCTCTCCAGGGGGTTCAGGACCCTCTGTAAGGGGGTTTGGGACCCTCTGTGCCCCTCCCCAGGGGGTTTAGGACCCTCTGTAAGGGGGTTTGGGACCCTCTGTACCTCCCTACAGGGGTTTGGGACCCTCTGTACCTCCCTACAGGGGTTTGGGACCCTCTGTACCTCCCTACAGGGGTTTGGGACCCTCTGTACCTCCCTACAGGGGTTTGGGACCCTCTGTGAGGGGGTTTGGAACCCTCTGTACCTCCCTACAGGTGGCTCCCCTGGCTCCACGGGGGCTCCTCTGCGGCCGGCGGCGGTGGCAGGGCCAGGTCCCCAAAGTCAGGCTCGGCTGGGGGTGGTGGCAGCAGCTCGAGGTCACCGGGGGCTGCGAAAGCCCCAGAGGGGGTCAGGGGGGAAGGGGCTCAGCACCCCCAGAAGGGACAGGGACGGGTCACACGTGTCCCTGCCACCCCCAGAAGGGACAGGGACGGGTCACACGTGTCCCTGCCACCCCCAGAAGGGACAGGGACGGGTCACACGCTGCCCCCGTGTCCCTGTCACCCCCCAGAGCACCGGGCACTCACCTGGGGGGGGGAACTCCGGTGGGGGCACGGCCAGGTCCCCGGGCAGGGGTGGCAGGAGGTCCCCAGGGAGGGGTGGCAGGAGGTCCCCAGGCAGGGGTGGTGGCGGTGGGATGGCAGCGGCAGGCGGGGGTGGCCCCGGAGGGCTCGGTGCCATCACGGGTGGCCCCGGAGGGCTCGGTGCCATCAGAGGTGGCCCCGGAGGGCTCGGTGCCAGCAGGGGTGGCCCCGGAGGGCTCGGTGCCATCAGAGGTGGCCCCGGAGGGCTCGGTGCCATCACGGGTGGCCCTGGCAGCGGTGGCGGGGCAGGAATTCCGTCCCCTGGGGCTGCCGGGGCCCCGCTGGAGCTGGGGGAGGAGCAGCAGCGTCAGGGCGGGGGTCCCTGTGTCCCCACCCCGAGCACAGACACTGGCCCGTGCCAGGACCAGGTGGCACCGCGTGGCACGAGACTGCAGCGTGCAAACCCTCCCCCGCCCCGTGCCCCGTTATCCCCGTGCCCCATTTCCCATCGTTCCTATCATTATTTCCCATCATTATTTCCCATCATTATTTCCCATCATTATTTCCCATCATTATTTCCCATCATTATTTCCCAACATTTCCAACATTTCCCGTGTTCCCCCTCTCCCTAAAGGACATCCTTGTTCTGCACACGAGCCCTGCCAGGGCACAAACCCCTTCATTTCCCCCAAATACCTTTATTTCCCCCAAACCTCTTTATTTCCCCCAAACCCCTTTATTTCCCCCAAACCCCTTCATTTCCCCCAAACCCCTTTATTTCCCCCAAACCCCTCGATTTGCCCCGTACCTGGGGGGCAGCGGGGAGGAGCTGCAGGAGCTGTTGGGATCAACGGGATGGGATGGGATCAATGGGATGAATTGGGATCCATGGGATCAATGGGATGGGATCCATGGTATCCATGGGATGGGATCAGTGGGATCAGTGGGATGGGACGGGATGGAACAAGACGGGATTGATTGGTTTGGGTCGATGTGATGGGATGGGATCAATGGGATAGGATCCATGGGATCAGTGGGATGGATGGGATGGGATGGGATGGGATGGGATGGGATGGGATGGGATGGGATGGGATCAGTGGGATGGGATCAGTGGGATGGGATGGGATCAGTGGGATCAGTGGGATGGGATCAGTGGGATGGGACGGGACCCCCACAGGGGCCACGCCCCGTGCCACCAGCCCTGGTGACACGGCCGGGCCGCTCTCACCCCAGCGTTCCCGCAGCCGGTGCTGAGCAGGACTTGGTGCCTTTCCGAGCCAGGGTGCCCGTGCGGGACAGCTGCGTGCTGGTGTCCTGCGGCACGGGGACACGGACACGGGACACACGGACAGGGGGACACGGGACAGGGGGACACGGGACAGGGGGCACGGGACATGGGGACATGGGGACATGGGGACACGGGGACACAGGACACGGGGACACAGGACACGGGGACACACAGACACACGGACACGGGGACACACGGACACACGTGGGTGACACCCCTGCCCGTGACCCCCCGGGCTCGGGGAGCAGCGGAAGGCGCCGGGGCTGCGGGGGCGGCCCCGAGGCAGCGGCTCCGGGGGAACCGCGGGGATTTCCGGAGCGGGGGAGGATCTGTGGGGCCGGGAGGCTCCGAACCCTCCCGCGGGGGATTTCTGCACTGGGGGAGGATCTGTGGGGCCGGGAGGCTCCGAACCCTTTTGTGGGCACCTTTCAGAGCCAGGAAAGGCTCAGGGGGCTCTGAGGACCCCAAACCCCTCCTGTGGGGTTTTCCAGAGCTGGGAAAGGCTCGTGGGGCTCTGAGCATCCCAAACCCCTCCTGTGGGGTTTTCTGAGGTAGGGAAGGATCTCTGGGGCTCTGAGGACCCCAAACCCCTCCTGTGGGGTTTCCAAAGCTGGGAAAGGCTCGTGGGGCTCTGAGGACCCCAAACCCCTCCTGTGGGGTTTTCTGAGGTAGGGAAGGATCTTTGGGGCTCTGAGGACCCCAAACCCCTCCTGTGGGGTTTTCTGAGGTAGGGAAGGATCTTTGGGGCTCTGAGGACCCCAAACCCCTCCTGTGGGGTTTTCCACAGCTGGGAAAGGCTCTGTGGGTGCCAGGCCCCCAAAGCTGAGTGGGCACGGACAGACCCCCTTCTCCACAGAGGAGGGGTCTCAGCCACCCACGCACCCCTCAGGGGACACGGGGACAGAGAAATGCCAGCCCAGCCCCCGGCGCTGACCTTGACCCCGTGGCCGATGTGGTCCAGCACGCTGAAGCTGAGGGGTTTCCTGTAGTAGGGCTCCAGCACGGGGGGCTCCGGGGGGGCCACCACCTTCTGGTGGCTCAGCAGCCTCTTGGTGACGGTCAGGGCGCCGATCTCGCGCCGTGCCACCTTCTCCTTGTGGATGTCCACGCTCTGCCGAGGTGACACGGTCCCCAAGGGCTCGCCCCCCTGCCCCAGGTGCCACCGTCCCTGCCAGCCCCGTGTCCCTGCCCTCGGGGACCAGCATGGCCACGGGGCAGCTCCTGCTGTGCCCCACACAGCCCCGGGGTCACCGACCCCACAGCGGGGACAGGGACAGGGACAGGGATGGGGACAGGGACAGGGACAGGAGGGGCTCAGCCACCCCCCAAGCCCCCCACCCTGCTGCTTCCAGAGGCCACAGGGCCCTGTCCCCTCCCGGGGCTGCGCAGGCTCCAGGTGGCTCCCGGGTGCCAGGAAGAGGCCAGGTGGCCATGGGACCCTGGAGCAGTGTCCCCAAGCTCTGGGTGACAGTGGGACCCTGCAGCAATGTCCCCAAGCTCTGGGTGGCCACAGGACCCTGGAGCAGTGTCCCCAAGCTCTGGGTGGCACTGGGACCCTGCAGCCGTGTCCCCAAGCCCCAGGAGGACAAGGGGCACAGGGACAGTGTGGCAGCCAGGCCGACGCTCTGAGCTCCACTCGGAGATTTGGGGGCAGTTTGGGATTGGCAGGTGTGACAGGAAAACACCCCCAGACCAATTCCTGCCCCCCGGGGGGGGTCTGCAGCCCCTCGGAGCCGCCCAGAGCCCCTGTCCAAGCGTCCCCCCGTGTCCCCCGCTGTCCCACCTGTGCCACGCAGGCGATGTCGGCCTCCACGCGGCGCAGCTGGGCCGCCTGCAGCTCCAGCAGGCGCAGGAAGGCGCTGGCCAGGCTGCTCACCTGGTAGGTGACGCTGGCCAGGGACTGCGTGCTCAGAGCCATCGTCTCCTGCAGCGCCTTCCTCTTGTCGCCGGCCTGCAGGGGACACAGCCGGCCGTGGGACGGGGACAGGGGCAGGGACAGGGACAGGGACAGGGACAGGGGACGAGCCCTCCCCTGCAGGGGACAGGGGACACAGCCGGCCGTGGGACAGGGACAGGGACAGGGACAGGGACGAGCCCTCCCCTGCAGGGGACACAGCCGGCTGTGGGACGGGGACAGGGACAGGGACAGGGACAGGGACAGGGACAGGGGACGAGCCCTCCCCTGCAGGGGACAGGGGACACAGGCGGCCGTGGGACAGGGACAGGGACAGGGACAGGGACGAGCCCTCCCCGCCGCCGGAGCTGTTTCCTTCTGCTTTCCAAATGCCTCACGCTTCCCCCGGCTCCGGGGCCGCGGCCATCCAGGGGTTCCCCGGGATTCCTGCCGGGAACGATGTCCCAGAGGGCAGGGCAGCCACGCGTGGGACAGTGGCTGTCAGTCCTGCTGGGCTCTCAGCTCTCTCAGCCCTTTTCAGGCTCTAAGCCCTGCTGGGCTCTCAGCAATTTTGGGGTTCTCAGCCCTCTCAGCCCTTTTGGGGCTCTCAGCCCTTTTGGGGCTCTCAGCCCTGCTGCGTTCTCAGTTCTCTCAGCCCTGCTGGGCTCTCAGCCCTTTTGGGGCTCTCAGCCCTGTTGCGTTCTCAGTTCTCTCAGCCATTTTGGGGCTCTCAGCCCTTTTGGGGCTCTCAGCTCCCGGAAGAGCTCAGCTCATTTCCCTTCGCTTCTGCCCCGCTGGCTCGGGGCCCCCGGAGCCATCTCGGAGTCGCGGCCCCGGCCCGGGGGGCACACGGGACCCCTGCCCGGCAGGGAGGGCCAGAGGGGCATTTCCTTCTGCCTTCATCTCCTCAGAGAGCCAGGCAGGGAGCAGCAGGAGGAGGAGGAGGAGGAGGATGGGGAGGACGAGCAGAAGCAGGATGAGGATGAGGAAGAGCACGAGGAGGAGGACGAGGGATGCGCCAGCAGAGCTTCACGCTCACCCTGCGTGTGCAGGCCCTGCCAGCTGCCACCTCCCAGCCCCTGGAGGGGACACGCACCCGGCCCCAGGGCCACCAACCCCTGCAGACCCCCCCTGCACCCCAAAGCCCCGCGGAGCCGCTGGGGAGCCCAGGAGCCGCCGAGGCACGGGGAAAACGCGGCGGGGATGCTCGGGCTGCCGGGGCAGCGCTGCAGCAGCCGCCCCGCGGGGCTGGCACGGCCCGGCCCGGCCCGGCCCGGCGCTGACCTGCAGGTAGTTGCTGTGGCAGTAGTCGGCCACCCGCAGCAGGTTGCCGTGCTGCTCCCGCAGCCGCTCCCGGCCCGCGGGGATGTCGCTGCGCCGCAGCCGCTCCAGCTCCGACATCGCCCCGCTCTCGGCTCCGCTTCCTCCCGAAGCCGCCCCGGCGCTGACGCAGGGCCCGCGGGCGCCGCGGTGTCCCCGGCCCCCCGCGACACCCCGCCCCGCCAGCGACACGGGGAGGAACGCACCGGGCCCGGCCGGGACAGCCCGCGCCGGGAGGGAAGGATGTGAGTCACGGGGAACCGGGGCTGCGCTCGGGCAGCCGCCCCAGAAGGGTCCCGACCCCAAAAGGGTCCCGACCCTAAAATCATCCCAACCCTAAAATCATCTCGACCCTAAAATCATCCTGACCCCAAAAGGATCCAGATGCCAGAAGGATCCAGATGCCAGAAGCGTCCTGACCCTAAAATCATCCCGACCCCAGAAGGGTCCTGACCCCAGAAGGGTCCTGACCCCAGAAAGGTCCTGACCCTAAAATCATCCTGACCCCAGAAGGGTCCCGACCCCAGAAGGGTCCTGACCCTAAAATCATCCCAACCCCAAAAGGATCCTGACCCCAAAAGAATCCTGACCCCAAAAGGATCTCAACCCCAGAAGGATCCCGACCCCAAAATCATCCTGACCCCAAAAGGATCCAGACGCCAGAAGGATCCCGACCCTAAAATCATGCCGACCCCAAAAGGATCCCGACCCTAACACCCCGCCGACCCCCATGTCCGCCCCTGTGCCCACCCCCCCTCCCGGGCTGGCCCGAGCCAGGCCCGGCCCGGCCCGGAGCCCAGGGAGCTCCGGCCGCCCCTGGCTGCCCCCGGCCCCGCTCCGGGATGCCGGGATGCTCCCGGGGCCGGGGCCCCTCCCGGAGCTGGCAGGGCACGGCGGGACGAGCCCCGAGTGCCGGGCCCGGCTGGGGACAGCGGGGACAGCGGGGACAGCGCGTCCTTGGCCAGGGCCGTTCACATCCCCGCAGGAAATTCCCGCTGCCCGGGCTCGGAAAGCCCCGCAGCCTCCGCTCCACCTCCCGGCGCTTCCCCGCGCCTCCCGGGCTCTGTCCCGGCCCTTCCTGAGCCCGTCCCAGGGAAACGATGATGGAAACGATGATGGAAACGATGATGGATTTCCTGCGGTGCCGCTCCTCACGGCCCGGCACCGGCACCGGCACCGGCACCGAGCCAGCCCCGGCTCCCCTCCCGGGCCGGGGGAGCTGCCGGGACCCCCAGGGTCAGCCCCGGGGTCACTCCCAGGGTCACTCAAAGAGGTCACTCCCAAGGGTCATTCCTAGGGGTTGCTCCCAGTGGTCACTCCCAGGGTCAGTCTTGGGGCCAGTCCTGGGGTCACTCCCGGAGTCACTCTCAGGGGTCACCCCCAAGGTCACTCCAGGGTCATCCTGGGGTCGCTCCTGGGATTATTCTCAGTGGTCACTCCCAGCAATCACTCCCAGGGTCACTCTTGGGGTCAGTCTTGGGGTCACTCCCCGGGTCACTCCGGGGTCACTCTCAGGGGTCACTCCCAGGGTCACTCTCAGTGGTCACTCCGGGGTCACTCTCAGGGTCACTCCAGGGTCACTCCGGGGTCACTCCCGGGTCACTCCCAAGGTCACTCCCGGGTCACTCCCGGGTCACTCCGGGGTCACTCCGGGTCACTCCCAAGGTCACTCCCGGGTCACTCCCAAGGTCACTCCGGGTCACTCCCGGGTCACTCCGGGGTCCCTCCCGGGTCACTCCCAAGGTCACTCCGGGTCACTCCTGCCGCTCCGGGCAGGATCGGTCGCTCCGGGCCCGGTGCCCGGCAGGCTCTGGGGGTGCCCCGGGGGTGCCCCGGCCGGACCCCACCCACCCCCCCTGCCCCGCCCAGCCTGGCCGGATTAGGCCGGGCTTTGGGGCTAATTCCCAACACCTGACCGGCTTAGGTGCTGAGTCCATTATCAGCTCAGGGGCGAGGACATCTGCTGCGGCAGAGCCCGGGGCCGCAGCAGCCTCTGCTCCTCTGCTCCTCTGCTCTGCCCCCCATGGGGCTCTGAGCGCCCCGGTGCACCCAGGGCCGCCCCCGGCCCCAGGTGAGTGCCTCCGCTCCTCCGGGGCAGTCTGGGCACCTGGAGCTGTTTCCCCCTGGTTTTGGGAGCCCCCGGGGCTGGCGGTGTCCCCAGGGGGGTGTGGGCACGGAGAGGGGCACGGGGCACACGTGCCATGGGGGTTTTTGGGAAAAGGAGTGGGGTTTCCCCAACCTCCACGGTCCCAAAACCTTTGGGGGAGTGCAAACAACGGAGTTCAGGGCGATGGAGGAGCCGGGCTGTGAAAGCTGGAGGAGAGGAAAGCTGGAATGGGTTTAGTTCCTTAGGAAAGCTGGGGGTGTTCCCCGGCAGGGGCAGGGACAGCGGCGGGTCAGGGTCCTGCTGGCACACAGCAGAAACGCCACCAAGCAGCCGTGCCTCAGTTCCAGGGCACCATGGCTCAGGACATGACCGAGAAGGAGCTGCTGAAGATGGAGCTGGACCAGCTGAAGAAGGAGGTGAAGAACGAGAGGCAGATGGTGAGTTCCTCACTGCACCCAGGGCAGCACTGCCACCCGAGGGGGGCTGGCCTTCCTCGGGGGGGGAAAGAACCCCCGGGCCCGAAATCCACCCCCAAAGCCAGGCAGGAGCACCCACAGTGCCCCTAGAGCACCCACACTGCCCCTAAAGCCAGGCAGGAGCACCCACAGTGCCCCTAGAGCACCCACAGTGCCCCAATGCCAGGCAGGAGCACCCACAGTGCCCCTAAAGCCAGGCAGGAGCCCCACAGCTGCCCCTAAAGCACCCACAGTGCCCCAAAGCCAGGCAGGAGCACCCACAGTGCCCCAAAGCCAGGCAGGAGCACCCACAGTGCCCCTAAAGCCAGGCAGGAGCACCCACAGTGCCCCCAAAGCTCTGGGATGCTCTGAGACACCCTAGGGGTGATTTTGGGATGCCCCAGGGATTATTTGGGATGCCCCAGGGGTGGTTCAGGGACACCCAGGCAGATCCCTGGTGCAGATCCCCCCAGTGCAGATCCCCCTTGTAGATCCCCGTTGTAGATCCCTGGTGCAGATCCCAGAGCAGATCCTGTTTTGGATCCCCCTTTTGGATCCCCCTTTTGGATCCCCGTTTTGGATCCCCGTTTTGGATCCCCCTTTTGGATCCCCGTTTTGGATCCCCCTTTTGGATCCCCGTTTTGGATCCCCGGTGCAGATCCCCCTTTTGGATCCCCGTTTTGGATCCCCGTTTTGGATCCCCCTTTTGGATCCCTGTTTTGGATCCCCGTTTTGGACCCCTGTTTTGGATCCCCCTTTTGGATCCCTGTTTTGGATCCCCGTTTTGGATCCCCGGTGCAGATCCCCATTCTGGATCCCCATTCTGGATCCCCGTTTTGGATCTCCCTGCAGCTCCCCCCCCAGTGTCCCGTCTCGCCCCGGGCAGGTCTCCAAGACGGGCAAGGAGATCAAGGAGTACATCGAGTCCATGGCGGGCGAGGACCCGCTGCTCAAGGGCGTGCCCGAGGACAAGAACCCCTTCAAGGAGAAGGGGGGCTGCACCATCAGCTGAGCCCCGGCCGCGGGCAGGCCCCGCTGCCCCTCCAGCCGGGACCCAACCCAGCGGGAGCAGAGAAAGAAGAACGGAAAAAAGCACGAACACAGCAAAACCAAAAAAAAAACAAAAAAAAGCCCAACCAACCCCAAAGCCCCACCCCCGCCGCAGCTGAGCTTTGGTTTCCCACGAGCAAAAAAAAGCAAAACTTCTGCATTTTCAGCAGCCCGGGCTGCAGGGGGTGGGGGGACAGCGAGCTGCGGCTCCCGGGATCGCAGCTCTGCCCCTAACCCCAAAGACCCCAGCGCTGCTTCCCGGGGGATTCCAGCTGGCACGGAGGGGATGCCACCAGAGCTCCGCCAGCTCTGGCTTCTCCTTCAGGAAAACCCCTGGAAAATCAGCGTGGAGTCCCCCGGAGCCACCCCGAGCTGCGGGACCGCTGCTCCCTTTCGGCTTTTTGGGACAAACGGGATCCCCTGCTTGACAGGAAAACCCCCGAGCTCCCGGAGTCAGCGCGGTGGGCTTGCTCTTTGGAGCCGTTTTGCTTTTTTAAAAATCCGTCCCCAGGATTATTTCCCATTTAATCTCGGGGAAAACTCTCCCAAAACTGCCCCAAGACCAGCGGCCCCAAACGAGAGGAGCAATAATTTGAATTTCGGAGTCCCTCGGGGTGCTCTCCCTCTCCCACTCCTCCTGTTCTCCCAGCCCGGTTAAATCCCAAGGAAATCCCTCTTGACACCCAAAAAACGGGAGGAGAAGACAGAAAAAGCGGATTTTCCTCAAGCAGGGAGCCCCCCTGCAGCCAGCACCCCCTCCCTGCGCTGCCTGGCCCCAAAACCACCCCAAACCACCCCAAAATCCGGCTGGTTCTGTTCTTTCTCGCCGACGCTCAATAAACCCGCCAGCACCGCCACGGCCTCTGGTTCTTGCAGGAAATACTCTCCAAATGTAGAATTTGTGGGCTTTATTTTCGCTCCAAAGTGGATTTTATTTGCCACAGCTGCAGACCTCGGTCCCGAGAGCTGACTGACATTATTCTTGTAATGCTCCAATGCTTTTTTATTTTTTGCCTTTAAAACACGGGTACACAGTGCGCTGAATCTTGTTTTTTCAGTGGAGTTTTTGATGGTTCTGCTAGGGAATTTTTTTGGCAAATTCTCATTTTTTTGATGGAATTGGTGGGGTTTTTTTTGTGGGGGGTGATGAAACTGGATGTGAGATGCTCCATAATTAATTTGGGGCGCACCTAAAGGTGCTGCTTTTTCTCCTGGCCACTGCTCCAAGACAATTTCAGGCTATTTAGGTTAAAAAAAAATTAAAAATAATGTATTCTTGGCCTTGAGGCGATCGGCTCCTCCGGGGCCTGAGCTGCCCCTAATCCGGGGCGATAACCGGGCCGCGGCCGGAGGGGATTGACCCGTTAATCGACGTTAAACGGCTGGGAACGTGCGTCAGAGCGGGCTAAGCCGCCTCGGAGGGGATTCGGGACAATGCCGGCCCCACAGCGCCGCAGGGCAGCGTCGTGAGGGCTCGAACCCGCCATGAGGGCGCCGGGCGGGCTGCTGAGGGGGAGGCGGGCCAGACTGCGCTCCCAGCCAATAGCAACGCGGGATTCGCAGAGTGACATCCGCTCAGCCAATCAGCGGTGGGGAACGGAGGGCGCCAAGCCTCTCCCGGGGAATTGGGGAGGTGGGAGGCGGTGCAAAGGAAGGTCACAACCAATAGACACGCGATATTGCCAGAGTGACAGAAGGTGTAGCCAATCAGCGATGGGGAATGGAGAGCGAAAAACCCTCCGGGGAATACGGATTGCGGAAGCAGGAGGCGGTGCAAAGAGCGCTCTCAGCCAGTAAAAATAAGAGTTTTTGAGAGTGACAGACTGAACAGCCAATCAGCGATGGAAAACGGAGACTTCGATTCTCCCCGGAGGGCTCCGGGCCTTGCCGGTGGAAGGCGGGGCGAAACGCGAGGCTAGCCAATAGAAATACGGGATTGCCAGAATGACAACCTGCTCAGCCAATCAGCGGTGCAACACGGAGAGTGCCCTCCGGCTTCCATCGGCCGCCTTTCGCCCGCGCCTGCGCCATGAAGCGCGGGCGCCCACGTACAAAATGGAGCGCGGCGGGCGCCGGTGCGGGCCCGGCTCTCCCGGTGGAGTCCCCGTGGGCTCTCACCCTCCTCCGGTCCTTTCCGCTCCCCTCCTCGGCCCCGAGGCGGCGGCGGCCGGCAAAAAGAAACACGAGGTCCCACCGAGATTTGAACTCGGATCGCTGGATTCAAAGTCCAGAGTGCTAACCATTACACCATGGGACCGCTGGGTGTACCGGGAGGCGCCGCGCGCCCTCCCTATCCCTCCACCCGCGGGAAATAGTCCCGGGAACGAACCCCGGGAATTCCGGGAATTCCGAGAATTGCGGGAATTGCGGGAATTCCGCCTCAAACCGCCTCAAACCGCCTCAAACCGCGCCACCGGCGCCCCTCCAGCCGCTGCGGCAGCCCCCAGCTCCCCCGCCAGCACCTCGTGCCCAGCACGCTCATTTCCACTTGAATTTTTTAATTTTTTCCTACTAATTTTTCGATTTTTTTGCTTATTTCTGCCTTTATTCCTCCGGGGTTTTGCCTTATTTCTCCCCCTTTCTTTCTCTGTTTTCCTCTATTTCCCACTTTATTTATTTTCCATTCCATTTTTCATTTATTTTAATGTTTTTTCCTCGATTCCCCCTTTCTTTCTGTATTCTCCATTTATTTCTCATTTCCCATTCTGTTTCCCCTTATTTCCCTATTTCATTTATCTGTTTTCCTTTCGTTCCCCCTCTCCGTTTCCCTTTATTTATTTAATTTTCTCTTTCTCCTTTAACTTTCCCCATTGATTTTCCCTCTGCTCTCTGCTTTCCCCTTAATTTCTCTATTTCCCCTCCATTTTCCTCTTTTTATTCATTTTTCTCCTCTAGTTCCTCCGTTTTCCATTTATTCTTCTGGTTTTCCTCGATTCCCCCTTTCTTTCTGTATTCTCCATTTATTTCTCATTTCCCATTCTGTTTCCCCTTTTTTCCCTATTTTATTTATCTGTTTACCTTTATTTTCCCCTCTCAATTTCCATTTTTTAATTTTCTCTTTCTCCTTTAACTTCCCCCATTGATTTTCCCTCTGCTCTCTGCTTTCCCCTTAATTTCTCTATTTCCCCTCCATTTTCCTCTTTTTATTCATTTTTCTCCTCTAGTTCTTATTTATTTTCCTATTTATCCTCTATTCCCTTTTCCTGCTTCCCCCTTATTTCTTCCCACTTCCCATTTTTCAAAGTTTTTTCCTCTTGCCTTTATTTTTTCCTCCCCATTTCCCATTTAATTTTCCCATTTCTTTTCCTATTTCCCCTCCATTTTCCCTCTATTTTCTCCCTTTTAATTTCAATTTTCCCCTTTATTTTTTCTTCCCTCTTAATTTCCCCCTTATTCCTCAATTTTCCCCTTTTTCCCTCCCCAATCCCACAAATCCACACAAACACTTTGATTTTATTTTTTTGCTTCTTTCTCTGTTTTTGCTCTTTTATTTTTTCACAGCGAAACAGTGGAAATAAAGCGATTTGTGGCCAAAAAAAATTAAAAAAAATAAGGAAAACCCTCGTCCCTGGACAGGCCTGGAGCCCACATCCACCCCGAATCCCAGGCCAGGGGAAGGACGTGGAACGGGAGAGGGGAAAACAGGTGAAAACAACTCAAAAAAGAGGCAAAACAACATCCCAAACCCCACAATTTGTACCTAAAGAGCCTGAAATTTCCTGGGAAAAGCAGCACCTTTGGATGCTCCCAAAATTCAGCTCCATCCCCTCCCCCCCTCTGCTGCCAGCACCCCAAAAAAACCCCAAAACCATTGGAAAAATAGAAAAAAAAACAAATGATCAACGTGGATTCCCCCAGCCCTGTGGGGAGGCTGCAGGGGTGGGAGGGAAGGAGGAAAAATCCAAGGAAAACAACAAAAAAAAAAGGAAAATCAAGCATTAAAAACAAAAATTAAAATAAAATAAAATTAAAAATAAAATCAGTCACAGCCCGAACCAGGGGCTGGTGAGGTCTGGAGCTTCCGAGGACTCAAAAATCACTTTCCTTGAAGGAAAGCAATCCCAGAAATCCTATTTTTTAATCCTATTTTTTAATCCTATTTTCTTTTAATCCTATTTTTTTTAAAGAATGTTTTCTTTGGAAAAAGTGTAAATTTTAATTTTTTCTCATTTTTTTAAAACTTTTAATTTTTTTTTTTAAACTTTTTAAATTTAATTTTCCTTTTCTCCCTAAAACTACGCCCGGGGAGTCGCCCCTACCTAGAGTCACCTATGGCTAAGAGGTAGATAAACAATCGGGGTCGTTGTGGGTGAGATTCCTGGGATCACTCCTGGATCACTCCAGGACCATTCCTGGGATCATTCCAGGGATCATTCCTGGATCGTTCCTGGGATCGTTCCTGGATCATTCCTGGGATCGTTCCTGGGATCATTCCTGGATCATTCCTGGATCATTCCTGGGATTGTTCCTGGGATCATTCCTGGGATCGTTCCTGGATCATTCCTGGATCATTCCTGGATCGTTCCTGGGATTGTTCCTGGGATCATTCCTGGATCGTTCCTGGATCATTCCTGGGATCACTCCTGGGATCATTCCTGGAATTGTCCCTGGATCATTCCTGGGATCATTCCCGAGATTGTTCCTGGGATCATTCCAGGGATCGCTCCTGGATCATTCCTGGGATCACTCCTGGATCATTCCTGGGATCGTTCCTGGATCATTCCCAGGATCATTCCAGGGATCGCTCCTACATCATTCCGGGATGGCTCCTGGATCATTCCCGGGATCATTCCCAAGGTTTTTCCCGGGATCGTTCCCGGCTCCGCGGGCGCTGGGCGTTCCAGACTCTCGGAATCGTCTCCTGCTCCTCTCCCGTTTCCCGAGATTTCCCTGATCCCAGATCTGGAGCAGCAGGGGCGTGGGCTGAGGCTGGGTTTCCTCCTGGAATTCCGTGGAATTCTGGGTCCGGGTGAAGCCGGATGCTCCGAGGAGCCGATGGGATCTGGTCGTGGATTCCTGAGGATGAGTTCCCGCCCTGGGTCTGGCTGATCCCATGGAATTCCCGGGATCA